CCTTGGTTTTGGATGTCAAACTCCATAAGGAAGAAAGATTATGGGATATAGTTACTCAAGGTGTTGATTTTTTCATTCACTCAATAAATATTTATCTAACACCTTAATTGGGCATGGCACTACTCTTCTAGCACTGGAAACTCAGTGATGTACAAGACAAAAAAAGATTTCTGTTGTTATGGAGGTTATAGTCCAGAGAAGGGTTCAGGTAGTAAACATAAAAAGAAGGACAGTGTTGCTGAGTTGTGATGAACCAAGCTGAGTAAAGATCATGGTAAGAAAATTAGATTTTATCCTTGGTGTAAATAGGAAGCCATTTGAGATATTTAAGTCAGAGACTGATACATGATTTTTATATTTAAAAAAATCACTCTGATTTATGGTATGCAGAATGTACTATAGGGAGTGGAGAACGGAAGTAGGGAGTCAATTAGAAGACTTTTATAGAATATTAGAAGAGAAATTGATGAAAGCTCAGCCTAGACTTGTAGCCATTGAGAAGGTAAGAAGTGATCATACTCTGGCTATATTTAGGAAATAGTGTCAGTAAGAGTTGGATTAGGTGGTAGAGGCAGGTAGTGAGGAGAAGAGAGAAATCAAGGATGATTTCTGCTTTGGCCTGAACATCTGGTTGACTAATCGTCCTAAAAACTGAAATAAGGAAGTCTAGGGGTAAATCAGAATTTGGTTTTAGGGTATGTTAAACTGTAAATGCCTGTTAGTCACAAGATGAAGTTGAGTCAGATATCAGGTTATGAAAGCTAAAATTTTAGCTAACATTTCAGTGGCTCTGTTTATTCTAGTTGAGATGGGTGGCCATTCAAATGGAAACATAAGCTAGTAGTCTCTAATAGTTGTCAAGGAGTATAGCCTCAAAATTCCTAATGCTCAATGCTATTTATGAAGATTGCCTAAATTATTTACAATAATTTTCCAACATTCACATTTACTGCCCTAGTACCAGCCATGCACAAGTATCTATGCCAGTGCATTCATTATTTAATTGTACCTCATGGTGTTTGATAATAGGATACAGGGAACCTAAGTACACTATTTGGACTATGGAAGGACAGATTCTCTTAGTAGATTTGGTCAGTATACTGGATACAAGGGAACATTTTGACATGTGACTTCACATTTGCAAAGTGTTGCCCTTTTAGTATTTCCATCTCACCCTGGAAAACCCACACTGATCTGAGGGAAAGTCCCTAACACTAATGAAAGAGGGTATTCAAGAGAGAAATTAATAATAAAGTTCATTGGTACCTTTAGATGCAATAGATGGACTAATAAAAAAATAGACTAGATGAAGAACATCACTTTCAACAGAATTCACCTGACTACAGATATTCCTCAACTTATGATGGGGTTGTATCTTGATAAACCATGCATTTAATACACTTAGCCTACTGAACATCATAACTTAGCCTACCCTCCCTTAGAGATGCTCAGAAAGAACACTTAATTAGCCTATAATAGGGCAAAATCACCTAACACAAAGCCTATTTTGCAATAAAGTGTTGAATATCTCATGTAATTTTTTGAATACTATAAAAATAGAATTGTTATATGGCTACAGAATGGTTGTAAGTGTATTGGTTGTTTACACTTAAGATTGTATGGCTGACTGGGAACTGTGGCTTGCAGCTGCTGCCCAGCATCATAAGTGACTATAGTTTCTACTGAATATATATTGCTTTTACACCATCATAAATTTGAAAAATTGTTAAGTTGAACCATTGTAAGTTAGTCTATGACTAAATACAATTTTTATATTATCTCTCGAAATGGGACTGAATTATCCAATTTCTGACTTTTCTTGAATAATATCTTGGTGTTTAACAAGCCCTGAATTGGCATTCCTAACCTGGTATCTCAGATTTACAAGTGAACTGATTAAACATTGTGAATACTTAGAAATAACATCACCATTCCTAATGGTATCTATACAGTCACCTTTGATGGACCAATGTTTAAAAATGGTGAAAAGAGAATTAGGAAATGGTAAAGGAAGAAAAAGAATGTGGGGGGAAATGTAATTAATGAAAGGAGCAGGTAAACAAGAAACACCCCCTTGATCATAAAAGAAAATGGGGAAGGATTAGATGGGAATTCACAGTGGCTAAATAAACATCATCTTAATTCTCCTTACAATCCATTGAGGCAGATATTGTTTCTTTTATAGATGAGGCAGCTGTATTTAGGAAGTTTCATTTTACAGAAGGTAACTGCTAGGCAGAATTCTTTTTTTCTTTAAGTTTTTATTTAAATTACATTTAGGTAACATACCATGTAATATTAGCTTCAGGTGTACATTATAGTGATTTCAGCACTTCCATACAACACACAATGCTCATCACAAGTGCACTCCTTAATCTCCATCACCTATTTAACTCATGCTTCCACTCACCTCCTTTCTGGTAACCATTGGTTTGTTTTCTATAGTTAAGGATCCATTTCTTGGTTTGTCTCTCTTTCCACCTTTGCTCATTTATTTTGTTTCTTAAATTCCACATATGAGTGAAATCACATGGTATTAATCTTTCTCTGACTGATTTTGCTTAGCATAATATTCTCTAGCTCTATCCATGTCATTACAGATGACAAGATCTCATTCTTTATTAATTAATTTATTTATTTGAGAGAGAGAGCACACAAGCAGGGAGAAGGGCAGAGGTAGAGGGAGAGGGAGAAGCAAGGAGCCTGGTGAGGGGCTCGATCACAGGACCCTGGGATCATGACCTGAGCTGAAAGCAAACGCTTAAAGACTGAACCACCCAGGTGCCCCAAGATCTCATTCTTTTTTATGGCTGAGTAATATTCCATTGTATATGTATACCACATCTTCTTTATCCTTTCATCAGTCAGTGGACATTTGGGCTTTTTCCATAATTTGGCTGTTATAGATAATGCTGCTATAAACATCAGGGTGCATGTGTCCCTTTGAATCAGTATTTTTGTAGCTTTTGGGTAAATACCTAGTAGTGTAATTGCTGGATCCTAGGATTGTTCTATTTTTAACAGTTTTAGGAACCTCCATACTGTTTTCCAGAATGGCTGCACCAGTTTGTATTCCCACCAACAGTGCAAGAGGGTTCCCCTTTCTCCACATCCTTGCCAACATTTGTTATTTCCTGTTATTAATTTTAGCCATTCTGACAGGTGAGAGGTGATATCCCATTTTAGTTTTGATTTGTATTTCACTGATGATGAGTGATGTTGAGCATATTTTCATGTGTCCGTTGGCCATCTGTATGTCTTTTTTGGAAAAATGTCTGTTCATGTCTTCTGCCCATTTTAATTGGATTATTTTGGGTGTTGAGTGTGACAAGTTCTTTATCTATTTTGGATACTACCCCTTTATCACATATGCCATTTGCAAATATTTTCTCCCATTCCATAGGTTGCCTTTTAGTTTTATTGATTGTTTCCTTCACTGTGCAGAAGCTTTTTATTTTGATGTAGCCCCAATAGTTTATTTTTGCCTTTGTTCCCCTTCCTTCAGGGGACATATCTAGAAAGAAATTGCTACAGCTGATGTCAAAGAGATTACTGACTGTATTCTCCCCTAGGATTTTCATGATTCCATGTCTCACCTTTAGATCTTTCATCCATTTTGAATTTATTTTTGTGTATGGTGTAAGAAAGTAGTCTAGTTTCATTCTTTCCACGTTGCTATCCAGTTTTCCTAACACCATTTGTTGAAGAGAATGTCTTTTTCCTGTGGATATTCTTTCCTGATTTGTCAAAGATTAATTAATTGAAAAGATTAATAGAAAACCCATTTCTGGGTTTTCTATTCTGTTCCATTGATCTGTGTATATATTTTTGTGCCAGTTTTACCATACTGTTTTGATCACTACAGTTTTGTAATATAACTTGAAGTCCAGAATTGTGATGTCTCCAGCTTTGCTTTCTTTTTCAAGATTGCTTTGGCTATTTGGGGTCTTTTGTGGTTCCATGCAAATTCAGGATTCTCCTAGTGTACAGGCCTTGGATAATCCCCTCCCTTTGAGTTGGAGCAGAACCAGTGAATATGTGATGGAATATCATTCCTGTGATTATAGTATATAGTAAAGATAAAGGAATTTTGAAGATGAATTTAAGGTCCATAATTAGTGAACTTTGAGTTAATCAAAAGGGAGATCATTCTGAGTGCGCCTGACCTAATCATGTGAGTCCTTTAAAAGATGGGAGATGTCAGAGAGATTCTCTTGTTGGCTTGGAAGAAATAAACTGTCATGTTGTGAGAGGGCCATGTGATTAGGATGTGAGGGGAATTCCTAGGAGCCAAGAGCAACCCCTGGCAGATAATAAGAAAAGGAATGTATGGCTATAAAAAAAACTTGAATTCTACCAACAACCAATGAGCTCACAAGAGGACTTTCGCCTCTGATGGGAGTGCAGCCCCAGCCAATAACTTTATTTGGTCTTATGAGTCTCTTGAGCAAAAAGAGAACTCACTTGTGTGATATTATAAATGGGTGTTGTTTTAAGTTCCCAAGATTTTGGTAATTTTTTACACAGTGATGAAAACCAAATATAGTAATGAAGGAAAAAATAGTTAATAGCTTGGCAGTTTTGCTCCCTTCATTTTAGACATCCTGAAGATACAATTAGGTTTCTTCAATGAGATTTTGTTATAGACCTGTTTTTTTTTTTATGAATTCCTACTTGTAATCTAGGAAAGCAAGTATAGTTTTCTTGGATTCTCTCTCTATTGCCTTGTTTCACAGAGCACTCTCACGGTTTATGCTTCTATAACCCTCCTTACCCCTCGTGATATCTTTTGTGATGGAAATGACCGAAAATGAAACAAAAAGATTTATAACCATGAGTACTGCTTATCACTTTAATTCTCTTTTCTTAAAATCTCACTAGGAAAATTTCTGAATTAGATACTAGTAGAGAAGGCAAAGCAAACATAAAATATATGAGGGAATGGACTAAGACGAAAAAGGAAGGGAGTTTTAATCCAAATATATTTCTATTGTTGGCAGGTTCAAAAAATGCACCATTTGCCTGCTATGAAGAAGTACACTCTCAAGGTGATAGGTTTGGGAACTGTGGTCATAAAAGAGGCAGTTATCAATACTGTCTATGGAGGTATGCTATGCAAATATTAAAGATACTTTTCTTATGTTCTATAAGATTCTATTTTTAGTTTTTCTTTATATATGTCATTCATTCCAGTGGTTTCAAGTATCACATGTGTATGGGAGTGAATCTTAAATCAAATTCTGTAGCCCTGACATCTTTCTTGTGCTACAGGCTTAAATTTCTGTCTACTTTTTATACGTTTGTATGTGACTGATCATTAAATTCAATCCAAGATTGAAAGTAATAATATCCATTATGCCTTTCCTATTTGAACCTGCACATTCTTCCTTATAAAAATACTATCCCCATTCACTTCATTGCTTGCCCAAGCTGAAGACTGCCCAGTGTCTATAAAATGAAATTAAATTTCTCCTGCATCTGAAGAGCAAGCTCTTTGATATTTTGGTCATGAATTTATTTTAACAAACATTTATTAAGAATCTACTCTGTGCTGGACACTGGGCTAGCTACTTGTTATGAAAGCATTCATGGCCTTTGTACTTAATGGAATTTGAACACGCCATGTAGTTTTGTTTCCTTGGTTTGTTATGCTGTTACTTTGTTTGGTAATACCTTACTCTCTGCCTATTGAAATTCTACTAATTAGTAAGCTTTGACTCAGATGGCAGAATCTTTTCCATGAAGTTTCCCCTAATTGTTAAGTTAAAATGTGTCCTCATCTTAAATCTCTGTAAGAATTATTTTATTTGTAGCACTTTTAATGGGATTTATATTACATTTAATATTAAATTGTAATGCCCGCGAGGGTAGGGGTCACAACTTATTTATCTTTCTATCCCTCTACAGAGGGATGTGGAATACTTGAGTGAATTGATTATTTGAAAATAAGTATATAAATCTGCACAGGGAATAAAAGACCACTAGAGCCATTGAAAGATAAGCTTATAAGCTTACAAGAACATTTACTTTAAATGTTAGTGTTAAAATATTACATTTCCCTAGTAACATTTGACATAAATGAAGAATCGTTCTTTTTTTTTTTTTGTCAAAGAAAGCAAATCTGAAGCATTCCTAATAAATGCCTAATGTGTAATAATCATAATTTTATTATGTTTGCAGGAATCTTCAATGTGGAAGATTAGTTTGTACTTATCCTACTCGAATTCCTTTTTACAGAGAAAATGGTGCTGTGATTTATGCTTTTGTACGAAATGATTTATGTGTATCTGTATTCTACAAATCGGCTCAATCACGAGAAGATCCAATGGTAGTCTTAAGTGGCTCTCCTTGTGACATAGGGAGGGTAAATGATTTAAAATCTGTTTTTTTTTAAATCTAGTTTTATTCATTTCTTAATATTTTCATTTAAGTATCAAATTTCAGTTCATTTCTAGTGCTATGTAACTTTAAATATTTAGATAAGAAGAAAATGAATAAGCTTCATTTTGTCTCCACACATTGAGGGCAGTAGGAATGTTTGATCTTCTTCAGAATTTCAGTATTATGACCAAGGATATTCCAAGCATTTTGGGGCTGGAGTGTGGAGGGGAGAGATCTTGGGAATGTATTAAGTACTCCATAGCATGGAAATTCACTTTTCTCCTTAGAGAAGAAAGAAGAAATCCCGCTTAGTAATATATGTCTCTTTGTAGTCCAGTAGATAAGAGCACAACTTAGATCAGACTTCTTAGAATCAAATCTTCAAAACTGATTTTTTTTTTTTTACATTTTGTAAGTTACATAACCAGTCTGAGATACTACAACTGTATGTAGAGTGGGGATAATAATAGCATTTACTCAATGGGGTTATTGCAAAGTTTAAATGAAGTAACTGTAAAGTGCTTAGTATGATACCTGGCACATGGTGAGAGCTAAATATAGATAGGCTATTATTACTGATTATTATAATTCATTATCTCTGAGGCTAACCCAAATCTGGAGAAAACATAGAAGGAGTAAATTTACTTCAAAATGTCATTTAATTCCTGACCAGATCTTTGCTTATGAGGAACCATAATATAGTATACGCTGTAGGCATTAAAGATTAAGATGTGCATGCACCTATGTTCTGATGTTTCCACTTAATAGATGATTTTGAACAGATTAATATGTGAAATGTATATGTTAATGCCACTTGTGGTTGTTTTATAATTTAATGAAGTTTACTGCAGGTACAGTATATAGTCTTAGGATATGTGCTGCTGGAGTGAGCACAGTATGTCATCTTCTCAATATTGATGTTCTCTTCATGCCTCGGAGTCATAAATGCCTCCTTAATGGGGGTATACACCAAGGAGTTCAGTAGATATATTTAGGCCAGGAAGCCAAAACAACTAAAAAATGGAAACTAGTCAACAGATGATTTGATATTCAGTTGATAATTTAGTAAGAATAGAATTCTTTTTATAACATGGACAATCCTCAGTGATAAGCAAGAGAACCCATTTTACGAGGTAGTTTTTAATGATATTATATTGCAAGTCACATACGATAAAACATTCTTGGCAACTTTTTTTTTTTTGTCAGTAGCATCCTTATATAACAGGACTCTTCATTTCAGTTTCAACTAAGGCAACCAGACAATAAAGACTACTTCGAAAAGGAGTTGTTAGACACACCACCATGGCCAAGAACTAATGAGAAAACTCAACACACACAGTAAAGGTTTAAAAGGTTTAGTTTGATTTAGAAAGGGGTTTGTGAGGCCATTTCTTTGAAGAGAGTTGTGCTGTGCTATAATGTTTAAAAGAAAATCATTTTCACATACAATATTTCATTTTAACCTCAAAACAAATCTCAAATTCTTTAGAAAAAGTATGATGGTACTCATGTAAGAGAACTGCAACTTAGAAAAGCTGATATTGCTGTAAATATTGGAGTTGGGAATATATCCTTAATCCTCTGATTATTACACTTCAAACACAAAGGGGTTATATCTGGATGTTTCATACATTACATAATAGAATGTTAGATATGTATGGCATATTTTAATAAGATTCCTATTATCTTTATTAGGGGACTCTAATAATAGCTCAAATTTGATTAAAACTTAATATATGTCTTGATTATATTGAACTGATTTTCTTTCTGTTTTTTTTTTTTTCTTTCAATCAAACTTTTGATATATGGAACAAAAACAAATACAAATCGAAAGATTACTGTGCTCTTAGGGATAGTTTTGTTAGATTTCAGGATATTATAATAAAAAGTGGTTATATGGATATGATATTTTTGTTGGTCTTGTTTTATTTGTATCTCCCATTTCCCTACACTGAATTATTTTTTTATGACTATTTTTTAGGTTCACAGCAAAACTGAGAGGAAGGTACAGAATTCCCATACACTCCCTTGCTCCCACACAAGCATAATCTCCCCCATTATCAACAATCCCCCACCAGAGTGGGACATTTGTTACAACTGATGAACCTACATTGACACATCATCATCCCATCCATATTTTACATGAGACTTATCTGAAAAATCCCCAAATACTTGGAGATTAAACAAACATTTTTGAATAACACATGTGCTAAAGGAGACCTTTTAAGAGAAACTGAAAAATATTTTGAACTAAATGAAAATAAGAATACAATATATAAAAATTTACAGGTTATAGCAAAAGCAGTACTTAGATGGAAATGTATTACAATGAATGGTTATGGTCTTATGGTATAAAGTTACTGATTGTAATGTTAAGACAGTTGGATTCCTGTAACGTGGAAAGTTTTTTGTGTTTTTTCTTTTTTTAGGTATGTATAAATGGTGAATGTGTAGAATCAAGGATCCTTATGGGTTATTCAAACCTTTGTTCACAGCAGTGCAGAGGACATGGAGTAAGTAAGCACAAAATTTATGTTTCCCCAAATCACATCTATCTTGGACACTTTACAGCATCATTTAATTTACTCAACATTTATCATGTTTCTTTTATTTGAGAGTCTGTATTGTATCTCGCTTCAATGTGGTAACCAAAAGTAGTATTAGAGAACATTGTATAGAATTAAATTGTTGTTGACCTTAACAGATTTATTCTTATAGACAGCTACTTTTCAATACATTCACCTGTTCATTAAGGGAAGATAATTATGCCATAATTTGTGTGTCTGTGAATATATGCAGTGAGGGAAAACTTTTGGTTTTATCCTCCTTTTTAAATATACTATTTTTTTTTTAGCAGTTTTAAGTTCATAGCAAAATTGAGAAAAAAGTACAGAGATTTCGATATACCTCCTAACCCCAATACATACAGCCTCTCTCACCATCAACATTCTCCACCAGAGTGGTACACTGGTTACAATCATAAACCTACAAAAACACCATTATCACTCAAAGTCCATAGTTTAAACAGGGTGTGCTCTTGGTGTTGTTTGTTCTATGCGTTTGGACAAATTTATAATGGCAGGTATCCATTGTTAATGGTATCATACAGAGTAGTTCCATAGCCCTAAAAATCTGTGCTCTGCCTACTCATCCCTCCTACTCCTGTTAACTATCAATCTTTTAAGTATCTCCATAGTTTTGCTTTTTCCAGAATGCCATATAGTTGGAATCGTATAGTGTGGATCAGACTGGTTCCTCAGACTTAATAATATGCATTTAAATTTCCTTCATATCTTTCCCCGCCTTGATAGCTCATTTCTTTTTAGTGCTAATATTCTGTTGTTTGGATGTAGCATAGCTTATTCATTCACCTACTGAAGATAGATATCTTGGTTGTTTCACATTTTGAGTTATAAAGAAAGCAGCTATAAACATTCATGTGCAGTTTTTTATATGGGAATAAGTTTTCAGCTCATTTGGGTAAATTCTAAAGACTGCAATTGCTGGGGGCACCTGGATGGCTCAGTCGGTTAAGCATCTGCCTTCAGCTCAGGTCATGATCTCAGGGTCCTGGATGAGGCCTGCATCAGGCTCCCTGCTCAGCGGGGAGTCTGCTTCTCCCTCTGCCACCTTCCCCCCCGCCCCACTTCCCCCCTTCCCCGCTCATGCTCTCTCTCTCAAATAAATAAATAAAATCTTAAAAAAAAGAACAAAAGTCAAAAGACCTTTTCATTTAGGTCTTTGGCTATGATTTTGTCTTATTCTTTCACTTGGGATGTATTCCACTTCTATTCATTTTGTCTAACTCTCTGTGTTTGTTTTTATGTATTAGGGAGGTCAGCTACATCTCCTGGTCTTGAAAGTAGTAGCTTTGTGTAGAGGAGTTTTTGTGGTGCCCTGTAGCACAATGCCCCCTGGTCACCAGAACCAGCACTCTAAATGTGTCTTCTCTGTGGGCTGCATGTACCCTGCTATTGTGGCTGAGCCATGTTTGCCTTAGCCCAGCCAGCTGCAATGACCTCCTTTGAATATTGTTGGCTCACTGAGCAGGGTTTGGTTCCTGTGCTGTTGAGAGACCTGTCTGAGGTCACCAAAGCTTCACTGGTGGACAGGGTTGGCAATCAGACTAGGTGCCTACAGTCAGCCTCTGTGTTACAACTGTGGGTGCACTGAATGGCAGGGCTTGCTCCTTATCTGGCCAACTGAGAGGCTTTTGTTGGTTGGTGGGGCTGGTAGGCTGACTAGATGTCTGCAGTTGGCTTCTTTGTCACAGTTGCAAGCATGCCAAATGGCAGAGCTTGCTCTCTGTGCAGTCAGCTAAGAGGCCTGGCTGAAGCTGTATGCTGGTGTGTGTGGTTATCTCCCCCTCTCCCCAGGGCAGAAGTCACTCTGGAGAGGCATTCATCCCTGCTGGGGCTGCTTGCAGGGTGAGGCAGGGCAGGAGCTGTTTTGGAGAGATGCTTGCTGCAGCATGCAGGTTGGATGGGACAGGTCTGATGGAGAGTGCGGAGACAGGGCCTGGGGTGCTAGCTAGATAGATGGAGAAAGCACTGGCTCCCACTAGTGTCAGCTATCTAAGCTGGGGGAGGGGAAGAGAAATGGTGCCCACCAGCAGTTTTGTTCCGGGAGATATCTACTGAAGATACAGTGTACGTTTCGAGATTAGTAAATAAACATTCTTCATGTATACCCCACGCACTTTTCAAACTATTGCTTCTGTGCTGTCTCAGGTCGAGCTATTTATTATGCTGACTCTTTAAGGGTGGGGACTCAGTTTCCTATCATCCTCTAGCTTTCCCAGGTTACACCCTGCTGATTTTAAAACCTCCTAAAGTTAAGCCCCACCAGTTTTCAAACCTAGATATTACGGGGACTCGTCTTCTCAGTGCAGGTCCCTGGTGCCTGGGATGCCTGGGGTGCCTAGGCTGGGGTCTCATCCTCTCACTTTGTACTTGGGGTGTTCCTCCTGTTTGAGGTTAGTCTTACTGGGGGTTTGGTTCCCAATGACATCTCTACCCCTCCTACCCTTTTTAATGTAGTCTCCTCTCCATGGTGGAACATCTGTTCTGCCAGTTTTCAGGTCATTTTCAGAGTTAGTTGCATAAATGTAGCTGTTATCTCAGTGTGTCTACGGGATGAAGTGAGCTCAGGATCCTCCTACTCTACCATCTTCCCTGAACCTCTTCTATTATTTCTTTAAATAGACACTTTCTGTCCCTTTTCCTCACTTTCTTCTGGAACTCTAATTATTCTAATATATATGTTTGATGGTTTCCCATTAGATCACGTGTTATTTTCTTCACTCTTTTTCATTCTTTTTTCTTTGTTATACTCTGACTGGATTATTTAAAAGTTCCTATACTCTAGATCAATAATTCTGTCTTCTGTTTGTTCTATCCTGCTGTAGATGCTCTCTATTGCATTTTTCTTGTCATTTATTACATTCTGTATCTCCAGAATTTGTTTGGTTCTTTTTTATGATTTCTGTCTCTTTGTTAAATTCCTCAAAACAGCTTTGTTGAATTCTTTTTCAGCTAAATTGCCAAATTCTGTGTTTTGAGTTCAGTTACTGGAGTATTATTGTTATTTTTTGGTAGTAACATGTTTCTAGGATTCTTCATGTTCCTTGGAGTTTTGTGTTGCTGTTTTCACATTTGAAGTAGTCACCTTCTTAAATCTTTACTAGTTGTCAGCGGGTGGGAGATAATATTTGCTGGTCTTACTTATGTCTAGGTCTTTCTACAACCTTGTATAGATATACTTGCTCCACATTTCTTGCACCCTCTCGGGGCAGAATTCTTAAGCTGGTATGTGTTCTCTGTCTCTTACGATGCACCAAGCCAGCTGCTGGAAAACTCTGTTTTCTAGGAGGTGCGCTACAGCTTAAGTTTGTGATTTCTCCCTTGTTCAAGGACCCTGGCCTGATTTTCTGAGGGTACTCCCTGTCCACCAGAGCTTTTTGCTGCCAAACTCAGGAGCAAACACAAGAACAGGCTGCAGATTGTGGAGAGTTGTGGGCTTAGCACTTGGGGTGTTGTGGGTGCCCCTGGATCAGGTAAGGGGTGATCTTTGGGTGAGGATTTCCCAGCAACTTGTGGGCAGGCTTCCTACTGGAGTAATGAAAGCATATAGCAGGAACTGTGTCCTTTTAATGCCCTCTGAGAGTCTTATCTTCTTATCTACCACTTTCCTGATTTCTTCCTTCCCCTCAGTTGTGGAGATTCCTGCCTCAATACTCTGGGTGCTTTGGGAGAGAAATGGATTTCTCCAGCTGTGTCCTGCACCTCACCACTTCTCTTTTTTTCTGTCGGAGAGGTCACTGCTGGCTAGTTCAGCCCCGGACTATGTGCCGTTGTGGGAGGGATGGCACTGGCAACTACTCTTACCCTCTTCAGTGCATCTGAACTCTTATTTTATTTTATTTCATTTTATTTTATTTTATTTTATTGTATTGTATTTTATTTTATTTAGGGAGGGGGTGCTTCAAAGGAATGCAGGAATCTATTTTTGGGAAACTATTCCTGGGGAGACTTCTGCAAGGCTCTCTTTTCAATGGGTTTCTGCCCACATTAGCATTCTCTATGTTTTCCCCAACTGCATATAAGAGGAGCTGAGTCCTCTTCACTGGCTCCTTCTGATTCCACAGCCCATACTGAAGTCTGTCTGCCTATTACCTGATACACAAGTGGGCAAGACTCCTCCCAGGTCTCTTGGTGTGTAGTGCTTGATTCCACAACTCTCACAGAGGTACTTTTGTTCATGGATGGATGCTGAAATTTAGTTGTTTTTATAAAGGGGGACCAAAGGAAGGAGTTCTTATGACACGATAATTCTTTTGTCAAACCCAAAGCCAGTTTTATCTCTTCCTTCCCAATCCTTATACCTTTTATTTTCTTATCTTGTCAATATGATGTTGTAAAGAGGGACTCTCTTGCCTTGTTCCTGATCTTAATGGAAAAGCTTTATCTACCATTAGGTACTGTCAGGTTTTTTAAAAAGACATTCTTTATCAATTTGAGAAAGTTTCCCTCTATTTATAGCTTTCTGATAGTCTTTTATCATTACTGGGTGTTCAATTTTGTTAAATAACTTTCTGCAGTTATTGATATAGTCATGTGATTTTTCTTTTTTAGCTGTTGATATATGATGGATTACATTAATTGATTTTCAAATGTTGAATCATCTTTGCATACTTGAGATAAAACTCACTTGCTCATGGTATATAATACTTCCTATACATTAATGGAATTAATTTGCTAATATTTTGTTGAGGATTTTTACATCATTTTTCATGAGAGGTATTGATCTATAGTTTTCTTATAATGTCTTTGTCTTTGGCATTAGGGTAACGCTGGCCTCATAAATATGTCAAAAAGTATTCACTCTACTTCTAATTTCTGTAAGAGATTATAGGGAATTGGTATGATTTCTTCCTTAAATGTTTGGTAAAATTCACTAGTTAACCCAACTCGACTTGTGCTTTCTGTTTTGGAAAGTTATTAATTGTTGATTT